GAAAAAGACCAAAAAAAATTAGACAAAACAAAAAAAAAAAAAAAAAAAAAAAAAAAGAAAAAAAAAAAAAGGAGAAATCATCCTTGGCTGAAAAATGAAAGGGCTGTGAAAAACTCATTTGGCTGATCTTCCAGATGCCTCTAAAAATCTAAAATCTTGCAGGTAGCTTGGGAAGATCCAGTTCGAAAAAGCCTACTACTGTCAACTGAAGTTCTGCACAACTTGCTAAAGAAAGACAGGATATTGGCAGTTTTGCATGATGGCTAGAATCTTAATAGACTATAATGCCCAGTAGGACAACAAGGGGCAACCCCAACAAGTGATGGGGGTTTGGGAGCCTCAGAGCCTACCTGGAAGGAAGTGAGCACTCAAACCACCTACTTAAGGTACCAAGTCTGATCCATAGCACCCAAAGTAAGTAAACTGTGTTCCTCAGGTAGTGCGTGGAAAGTCATAGGTAAATTCAGAGGACCTAAGTTAAATCCTCATATAAAATGATGTGAACACTTTTCTGTATCAAAATGGCCAGCCAAATCCCCAAAAGGATTCAGCTGCTGCAGCACATCAAACATAGACTCCTGGCCACAGAAGAGGAATCCAGAATCCCATAAATGTCATGGGAAGAGCCACACACTTCAAGGGCAGACTGAAAACAGGCGGCACATTAGAAAGGGCATACTCAGTCAATGTCCTAGGTGTGCTTTTATCTGTGGTCACTGAAAACCATATTCCAGAGAACTACTCTTTACCACACTGAGGTGGTGGCAGAAGACAAGGGGTTGGGAGTGATGTGAGGTAGACCCCACACTCAAGTTGAATTTATGTCCCCACAAAGGAAAGAATAAAGATTCACCGGACTACCGAGAGAATGCAAACATGAACATGATTCTGTAATCTGATGGCTCGACACTCCTGTGGGATGGGGGATACCTGCTTCACAAACTATTTTTCACCTTTGAAGGTCTGGAATTTCCCTGAAGTCTTTTGGAAATAAAAACCCAGCAACATCCAGGGCTTTGGGAAGAACATTTTATTGCTAAGCATATCTTTAAACAAAATGCAAATAAGAAAAGAAAAAGAATCAAAAAGGAAGAAGAAAAAGAAAGGGGAAAAAAAGCAATAACATCACAATAACTCAAATAAAAATTCTTAAGGTTGTCCATAAAGCAACAGGGATATGGTAGAAGCCCACATACAGAAATGCACATGTTCCCAAAAACTGTCCAATAGAAACTTACACAAAAAAAGGAAAATGTAAATCTTTTTCCCTTAACTTAAAAAAGGAAAGCAAAAAGGAAAGGAAGAAAGAAAGCAGGAAATCATTTCACAAGACTCCAAGACTCCAAGAACAGCAATCTTTTACAGACATCAAGATATAATCAACTTTATATAGTTTCGGCCAGTTAAGTCATCTAAAATCGTGCTTTCATACCTTTTTAAAACCTGTCTTTTTTTTTCTTTTTAGTATAAAAAATAAAAAAGGAAAAAAAAGCTCAACCTCGCACGCACGCACACGCACCACACACACGCACACATACACGCACTGAAAATATTTGTTAACATGAAAGCGTCTTCTCTAAATGTTTGAGAAGGCTGTTTTTTGAATTTAAATTCCCATGTGCGTGTGTGTATTTGATGACACTTCTTCAAAGTCAAATATTCATGCGACTTATAAACACCAGCAAGAGTAGATTTCTAAACCTAAACGGCTGATTAGTTTTCATCTGTATACAGAAAAAGTGTACATTTCTGATATTCCAGAGTTCTCAATCCATCTTGGTTTTTGTTGTTTTCCTCTCTGTCTCTCTGTCTCTCTCTCCCTTATTTGCTTTTTTGCACATGATAGGCATGGCCGTCAAACCACCTGGCTATTGTTCTGTACAGTAAGATAATCCTTTTCACAATAACTGGGAAAATGTAGAAGCCAAACAACCAAATTAAATAAGTTAAATAAAAACAAAAGACATTCCCAATTTAACCATAAAACAGTATATACACCATCAGGGTATCCATATAGAAATTATACTAGCAAAAAAAATAGTAGTAAAATATGTAAACAAAATTTCAGATTTTTTTTTGACACAGGTAACTGTGACAAAGCTAAAACACACACTCTCTTCACATTTTAAGGTTTGTTTTTGTTGTCTGTTTCATTTTACTTCGTTCTTCAAGAACATTCTCATTCCACATTAAGACCATAACAGAACTTCTGTTCCAGTCGTCCCATCAAACATACCATGATAAATATATCTGTGTGTATATATATATTATATTATTAAATTCCTTTTTCTTTATTATTTTTTGTGTGTCACAGCAGCTTTATTTATTTTCTTTTATATAAAAGAGAAGGAAAAGGGAGAATAGGGCAAATGGAAAGACAGAGATGATCTGAAATGTCAGGCTACAAAATTAAAATATTACATATGAAAAACAGTTTTATGTCAAAAAAACTATGTATTTTGCATTCTTTTACAAGTGTTTAGCTTTTCTGACATTTATGGGTCTTGTCACAAGTTGAACTCCAGTGGTGTCTTTCTGATTTCTTTATTAAACTGATTTATTATGATTTTTTGCATGCATTGCAATCAGTCACAGAACCAGAACCCAGAGGAAGGCTCCTTTATTTTTGCATGGTATATTCAGCTCAGAATGGCTAACCATTTTTTAAGTATTCTTTTTGTAATCTTCAAATCCCTTTTACCACGGTTTGGCTGGGCTAATGCACACTAAGGGATATTCTCAAATAAAGCCAATGACTGATCAGAACAGACCCAAACCCATCTATTCTTCAGTTCAATTGCAAATACTGGAGCCAGATCCAAGGGAACCAGCTTTCCATGATAATTTTCTTCAGCACCACCCATCAGACACTTTCACTGTGTTGTTAGCAAACAACTTACTGCAAGACGACGGATTCTAGAGACAACACGACCAGATATGCAGAGTAAACACCATGGGTAGCTTTTGAGTTCATATATGGCAATAGTCTCTCTTTATTTATTATGGATTATTTTTTTTCCGAGATTTCTTCTCAACTCATGTCCTGGTTCACCCCCCACAACCATTCCTCTCCACCCTTCCCTCCCACACCCAAAAGTAACCAAAAAAAAACCAAACAGAAAACAACCCAAGAAACCAAACCAAACCAAACCAAAACCCCAACAATCTCCAAAATCATTTATTCCCCTCCTCCAATCTCGAAAAATTATATGTATGCTGGACACGGCCAGATCAGTTTGTTCAATATTTTTTTTTGTTGTTTAATAATGTTTGCATTTTTTTCTTTTTCCTTCCTTTTTTTTTTTTTTTAATAAGTAAACTGAAAAATTATTGATACAGTCAGGGATCACGAACATTGTTAAAGACTCACTTGGAGATATGAAACAAGTAAGCCATGAAGTCTTCTACCTTTGCGGAAAGTTCAGCGGAGGAGGAGATTTGGAGACGTCCAAGTTCACTAACAGGGCAGAGCTGTGCGCGCCATCTCCAGAACGCTAAGTGTGCTTTATAATACATTAGGGCAGAGTTTGCTGACTCCAAGCGATGACTGAGACATTAACAGTCACTGCTGAAATTTTTTTTCCCAATACTTTTTCCCACAAACGATATCTCCCAATCTCGTTCGCTGCAATGTTTCTGATATTTCAGTTAAATCTCATTAAGTATTTATATATTTATATATAAATAAGTATTCTTTTTTACACATAATACTCTTTGTCCTTGTTTTTCTGTTTCTTGTGGCCGCTCTTTGAGCTCTGCTGCTTCTCCTTCACGAGCGTGCCGTTGCTCTGGGCTGAGTTGCTGATGTAGTTCCGCGTCTCGTCCACCTGATAGGACCCCTCGTCCCTGTTCCTGTACTTGTACATGGCGTACAGGAGGATGAGGATGCAGAGGGCAGCAGCAGCCACAATGCCGACGACCATCCCCGTTGTGCTGCTCGACTCGCGGACCACCTCTGAGGCCCCCGGAACCCGTCTGATTCCCGGCTCCGTGGGGTTTGCTGTGGGCACATTACGGAACATGGGGGAAGTGATTAGCGGGCTCTTCAGCTTTGTGCTGTCTAGCTCATAGGCAGTGGGCAACGGAAGCAAGACTATGTCAGGCTGGGGTTTGAGCTCACGGTTATTCATTTTGCCGGCTGGCAATTTGGGCACCATCCCAGTCGAGGACGAAGCTGTGGAGCGGATCAGCTCAGGGGACAAAGACGTGGTAGTAGTCCTACCAGTTTCGGAGACTTTGTTAGGTCTAAAGTCCTTGGATTCCCACTTGGGTGCGTGTGCTTTGTAGCCACCTTCGAAGATTGAAGTGGAAAGACTCTTATCTGTTACCAAGGAGAAGGTGGTGTAAAAATCTTCATCATCAGTAGGGGGTAGGTTAGAGTCAAAGGTTTCCCCTGAGCCATACCCAGATATCACCAAGCCATCATCATCACAACCATCGCTGCCTTGGTCCGACAAGCAAGGTAACCCCGCCTCAGAGGTCATGGACAGGGAATCTTTGGTGGTCTCAATAATGGTGAGGAGGGGGCGAAAGGTAGGGGGAAGTGTAATGAAAGGTGCACGAGTAGCAATAGGAGGGATATCTAAAGGGTCTTCTACAAGTAGAGGGATAACTAATTCACCTCCTGGGATGGAAAAGAGAAAAAAAAGAAGATTAGTACATTTTAATGACACAATGCACCATTTTCAATTCACTTAACTCAAGGGCGACAGAGGATTTGGGCATTAAAAAAAAGTGTCAGGGATTGGGTTTCTCACCCTAACTACACTGCCAACATACTTTCCTGGGGGTGCCTTTCATTCTTCCCTCCCACCCCGCTGTGATGTCGGTAAACTGCATGTTCCAATTCCCCCCTCTTTTAACCTGTGTTAGCTATGTACAGTGAAATACTCTGAATTTTTGGGGACCCAAAGTTTTTGATTTTTGAAGATACTCTCAAGTGACTCTGTGAACATCAATTTTTGCTAGTGTTTAAAATGAATTCTTTTACACTTCCATAGAGCAATGTTCTCCTAGATGTGTTTTACCACTCATCTTGCCGGGTTTTCCTCCTCTGATTCTTTTCATTTAAAAGAACATTGGTATTTCTTCTCTGATTCAGGTCTGCTCACCTGCCATAGCAGCATATAAGGCCTTTTCCTAAGGCCTTTGTCATTCATCCATTTCTTCTTGATTGTTGCCTGGTTTTTAAATTGTGGGAAAGTTCATGAAAGTGAGGGATGGCATAAGAACCAAGTACTTACTGGGGTCCATGAAGGTACAGAGCTCTACTCAATGCTTGTTCATCTCTTTTAAATCTTTCTTTACCATTCTGTTTGACACTAGGGATATCCCTTTCCTTGCATCTTTTGGGACTACTAATGCCGTGCTATCTTCATCTTCGGTTCTTCTTGATATTCTTTTACTATAATTTGATTAAAAACTAAGATAGACTTTATTGTGATTGATGATATAACTAAACAAGGATTCAGATGACTCAAATTAGTAGTTGAGCCCAGGAGTGTACCGCAGATGTTGTCTTCACACCTACTGTTACTTCTTGATATGCAGACAGTTGTGATCAGTGCTACTGTTTACTAACATGATGGCTACCTGCCTACAGAGGACTAAAACTGAGGCGGACTTATGGTTTACTCTTGAAGTAGAACAACAAAGCTATAGCCTATAGCTTTTGTACCTTACCACAGTATAACCTGCAACTGACACAAGAAAATCAGTGCATCATTTCTAAGATTTGGTTTCTGAGCAGCAATATTGCTACTTTTAGGGTAGTAGTTCTGTTTTGTCTATATATTGTAATATGACTGTACTACTTTTGAACCTATGGGTAATTAACACTCTGCTGTTTTATTCTGATGTGGAGGCATAATTAGTTGATCTAATTAATTTAGTTCAGATTGCATAGTCTTCTGCTGACATACAGGTCACCAACACTTTTTTAGGGTGAGCCATATTACTTTTGAAAGTTCATCTGATACCGTGAGTAGTCATCTAGATTTGTTGGAAGGAGTGCAGCTCAGTAAGAAGTATTTTTAATGCATGGGAAATTTTGTTTTATACTCACCATTGCTTAAGGAAAGATACGCAAAAGGAATTTTAGCTTCTAAATAAATAATTTTGGCTTTTACTTATGCATTAATAACTGCTAATGAACAGTTTGGCATTGTTACAATGCTGAACAGGATCAGGGTCAAAATTCTGCTCTCTCCTATCTACACTATATGGTAGATGCACTTATTTCCCATTGAATACTGCCAGTAATGTTCACGGGAGTTCTATAAAGAATATGGTATAAAATCATAATCCCTTCTAAATATATTTGGAGAGCAATATATTTGAACAAATTACATATTGAAGATAGCAATATACTGAAAAAAGGTACTTAACAGTTTGATTAAATCTGGATAGCTGAACTAGCAATATGGCTTATTCTTATCCTTAATGAGAAACTAAGTAGTGAGACATTTTAATCAATTGAAACAGATTTATCTCAGAGGTACCAGGGTAGAAATTAGGCCAAAATAAGAAATGCGGTACTTTGCATACTTGCATGCAAAGTTAGTTTTAAGTTAAGATACAAAGGGCCAATCTGAATATGTCTTTTAGTTTTCTGAGCTTCCTCAGTATGTTCATACTGCTTTTGTTACTGCATAGAGGATGAAGAATTAAGTATCATATGTGTAAAATAATGCCAATCTCTTCAAACTACATATCTTCAAAAATTATGTGAAAATCAGAAAGTGTAGTCTGCCAAATGGCTGCACGGCATTTTGTGCTCAGGCATCTGAGCTGTTTTCTGTGCAATGTAGAAACTAGAGCATGTAATGTGATTTATATTTGTCCAGAAGCCCTATCCATGGCTAGAGTAGGGCACCTATAATCTACGCAAACAGGTGGTCCCAGGATAAACTTTGAGTATGCCTCTGAGGCAAAGATCATCTGTGAGTCTGGTAAAAAATTAATACAAATAATAGCATTTAAGTGTACATTACATCAAATTGCATGAGTGGTGAATTTAAGTTCCAGAAAGTCAGGGATAGGTAGCGTCCCTTTAAATGATTTTTTAAGATCAGTGTTTTACTGTTAAAAAGTAATATTAATCTGTGATTTTCATTCACCATCTGTGACACCCAACTGGAAAAAAAAAAAAACCACTTTCATAGCTTTTAATTGCTCATTGAGAGCTTTGAAGTGCCTTTGTTATTAAAATGTATTATACCGGCACACAGTATCAATATGCAGTTGATCTGCCACCCACTGGGGTAATATTTTGGGTAGTTTCCTTCCAAAGTGAATTCTTTTTGGTCCTATTAATTTTCTTGAAGGAATCAGAAATATGTTACATTTAATATGAAGACCTTTCTCTTGCCCCAGTCACCCTTGCCTTTAAAACTAGGTCATAGTTCTACAGGTTTTGTTGCTGTCGAGGACATGAGCCAATGATCAAGACTACTGCAACTATAAAAACGACCGTGGTCTTCCTGAAATGTCAAGAAAAGTTGATAGAGTTGCTATGGTAAGTGGGGTTTCACATAAGTGGTGGAGGGCAGATTGGAGCTTTTTGATTCCAGCAAGTCTGTTGGATGGAACACAATAGGACAGAATCAGGAACGAGTTTTACAAAGTTTTACTCTCACAACATATGTGAGAACAGAAATAAATTTCATATCAGGAAGACTGGATTAACTCTGATTTCCCATACAATTATTTAATCTCATCTCTCATTTTATTCCAAATTGTCCCATGATCCATACTATATTTGCTTGTATACTATAGAAATAAAGCGACTGTTAAAGATCCTTCATTAGGAATCATTTCTCCATCAAGGAGTTCACTTGTTACATTTACTTAGGACAACATACTTTTGGGGGGTATCAGGGAGATGGCTGTAAGGGCGGTAATGATGCTTTGAATTTTTTATTTTTCTTTCTGTCTGTAACAGAATAAACTGTGAAACTGAAAAAAAAGCTGTGTGCGAGAAGGTAACTCAGAAAAAGGTGTCAAATTTGGCTTCTGTTTTATCGGTAGGTTAGGCATCCATGCAAAATTCACAGCAAGCTAGAAGATGTAGGTCTAATAGGATGCAAGCACAATGAATACTTCTTGGGGTATGTGATTTATAGAGGAGTTAAAACATCCTTTAAAATGGTGTGATAAAAATGCCACTCGATCTAAAAGAAATGTGTTATTTAAGGATAACAGGGAATGTAAATTCTGAAAAGCTCCCAGGAACGTGTGAGAAATGTGATCACCAACTTCTATGGAGGGTAGCAAGTGCAAACTTTCACATCATACCTGCAAACAACTTTGGTACTGGTACCACATTTCTACTTGTAAGAGACACAAGAGGGAGTCTGATGACAGGCAGATAAGTGTGCGTGTAGGGGGAATCATGTTTCACAAAATGACAGCCGAGGCAGCAGGAAGCTGCCCAGAGCCAGTGGTTCTTTGATGGAGAAGTGGTGCCTCTTGCCCAGGGCCCCAAGTTGGTTTAAAGGTAAGCACTGAAAGATTTGAAAGACAAAGTGCCACTTGGTTGCCAAGAATATCTTACATGGGATTTGGATCCTGAAAGGTTTGCTGTGAAAGGCAAGTGATTTAGAGATTTGGATCTCTAGAAAAGGCTAAACAGGAGCCCCTGAAAAAACTTACATGACAATTTGGAAGGGAAACACACTTTAGACAGGTTTTATGTTTGTATTTTCCTATCTGAAGTTTTTATTTTCTCACAGTGTCTACCATTTTTTCAATCACAAAATTAACGCTTTACAGCCTTGAATAAAACTTACAGTTTTAATTTCCAAACTGTTTTGTGCTTACAACAAAATGGCAAGGTTGCCACCCAGTTTGGGCCATTGGCTTCAAAACAAATCTTCATATGAGACTTACATTCTGTTTGTGGATGACATGGGCCGTTTCCTGGTAGTTACAGGTTTCTTTCCCCTTCTTTCTGTTGGCTGTTAAGCCCCAGTTAACAGTGTTCACTGGTATGCTGCAAGTTTGGGATTACTTTAGCAATCCAAAGAGTTCACAAGGACTTTCCAGATTTATTTTTCACCTACTCTGTGCTTTCTCACCTAAGCAGGGAATGGATGTTTTCCAAACATAAATAATGTTTTTTTAAAAGCTTCTATTGACAACACAATGCCAAAGAATTAAAGAAAAAGGAAGCAGATAAAATGGTTTCCTCTGTAGTGACATAGATGCAAAATTAGCTTGCCCATCAATAGTACATTTGCAAAAAATTACTGAATAGCTAACTGGAAGAAGCACTGAGAGAACTGAGGTCTGTGAGGTTGGAAACCTTTTACTGAGCAGCCCAGTGCTCTGCTTGGCCTTCTCATTCCACGAAGCAAACACAGTGTGCATATATTCCTTAAAAGTTAGCCTTTAAATTTAGCACATAGACTATTCTCAAGGAGTTGTGCTTTTCTTTAAACTACCAAGATCATTTGGGATATAAAAGGTCTGCTTTAGCCTTGGAGCTGCCCTGCTTTTTGCTTTATGAGCGTACTTATAGATACATAATTCATACCTCTGGGGCTGATCTCCAGTAAGAGTTCTCTGCCACTAGAAAAGACAGAGTGTTAAAAATTTAATAGAAGCCTTATGAACTGTGAGGAT